AAACTATATTTTTAAAAAAGGGAAGAAAAAAGCTATAAGCAGGATAGTTTTTTATAAATTATAAAAATAATTAAATAACTAACCACTATTACACCCGGAGTTTAAATTATAACTTAATATATAAGTTATTATAGTAAATAAAAACCCGCATGTAAATAAATTATAGTTAAATATTATAAAACTACTCTAGGTAGCCTAAGAATATAATAAAAAGTTTTAAAAAATAAAAAATAACCTTATAAATCTAAACTATAAAAAAAACCTTAAGTATTAAAAAGTAATAAATAATAGCTTGTTATACTTTAAAAACTAAGTTTATATATTAAAGTTAGTGGCACTTTATAAAAAAATTATAAAAGTAAACTATAACAAGCCCTAAGGTGGGTATTAAGGTATTAATATAATTATTATAAATATTTTTTAAAAGTATTATTAGCTAAATATAACCAGGTATATTAAAAAACATATTAAAAAGTATAATAACTACTAATAAATTATGGTTTATAAGCATAAATTATATAAATTATTAAAATTATTAAGCCTACCAAGGGCACCTACTAAATAAATTAATATAAACTTTATTACTAATTTATTATTTATAAAGTATAATAAGCGTGTATATAACGCTATTTTAGTAGTAATTAAGATATATACTAAATTTATATAATATATTTTATATTTAAAAAATATTAACATGGAATAACTTGCAAATACCCTTATAAATAATATTTTTTACTTTATTAGTATATTAAAAAACATGGTTAGTAATTATAAAAGTTTTTTTACTAGTGTATTTTAGGCTATACTAAGCCACTACCTAGGCGTAAAATAAAAACTATTTATTATATATTACCCGTAGATAAATAGCTAAACTAAAAAATAAAACTAAGTTCTTAAATACTACCTCCGTGCTTATATTAACTAGTATTAAAATAATTAGCTATAATAAATTAAAATAGCATAATTTATAAATAATAACATGTATAAATAGTTTATAAATTACATACTTACTAAAGCTTTTATAAATTTAAAAATAACTATATATATTAATATTAAGGGGCCTAACTAGGTATTAAAAATTAAACTTTAAAAAGCTATAAAGTTTAAAAAAATCCGCGTGAATTTAAAAAAATAACTATAAAAGTTAAAAAAAGCCATGGTAGTTTAATATAATAAAAAATATAAAAAAATAAGCTTTAAAATTAATAACTATATTATACTTTATATAAAAAATATTAAGTTAGCAAGATTAAATTATAAATTAAGTAAAATACTTATTAGCCTGTTTTTAATAATTATAAAATAAGAAAAATAGTTTTATAAGCTACTACTCCCACTAAATATATAATAACTATATAATATTTTTTATATTATATTTTTAAAACCTTACTATAATAACCTATTTTAAGTGCTAAATATTAGCCCTATATTAATAAATAGTAAAAAAAATACTTTATTAAAAAAATCCTTAATATTTATAAATTTAAGGGCAAGGTATAATACCTTATAAAATAATAAAAATAAGATAATATAAAAAATAATATATAGGAATTAAAGGCTTATATAACTAAAATTATAGCACTTAAAAAATTTAAAAAAACCTATAAAAATAAATTATATAAAGCAAAGAGATACTAAATATAAATATTTATATTTATAACCTACTGTGAGTCGCGTTTGTATACTGCGGTGAGCTTAGGAGAACGTGAATTACTGCAATAGGAAAGGCGTCGTGCATTCGTAGTAGGAACTAATCGCTGATTCTCTAAGTCAGAGTTCGGAGTCGAACTTGGTGTTCTGTGCGTCATGTGACTGGCCGCCGCCTTGGCGCGCGGCCAGTTCGGCGCCGACGTTCCTCCGCCCGGCGGCCTCAGGCCGCCGGATTGCGTCATTGCAACACTGCGCAGTTGCAACACCATAACGGTGATAACACCTACGCGCACTTATAAAAAAAAATATATTATTTTTATTAATTAGCAGCGCCCGCAGGGCCTTTTAATAAAAAAAAAATAAAAAATATAAAATAAAACAAAAAATAATAAAAAACTTAAATAAGTGGCTAAGCCGCGCGGTATGTAGTACTTAATATATATAAAATAAAAATTAAGCCCATAAAAATGCTAATACCAACACCTAGTATAAAAGTAATTTTAATAAAAATTTTTAAAAGTACTAAAGCACAGCACACCCCGTACTAAAAATAACAAAAATTTATAAAAAAATTAGTAATATAATATAATATAAATTAAAATATATAAATATATACTTAATAGCTAAAGCTGCACTAGTATAAAAAAATTATAATTATTAAAGTAGCACTAAATAAAGGTTTAAAAACTAGGAAAAAAACTACTATAATAAATTAATAAATTAAAATATAATAATACTACGGGAAGGGGACTAACTTATATAATAAATTATTATTTTTATTAAGGGGGATACTAACCTGTAAAGCAAAATTAAATATAAATATAATAATATTTATAAAATTAATTACTTATATATTATTAGCCATGGTAGTTTACTTAATAGCTAAAAAATATTTAATAAGCTACTTTTAAGGTAATAAGGTTTTTGCAAGCTTGCGGATTATTAGCTCCTATATATATAATATTAATAATATTAAAAATATTTTATAGTTAGTTACTTATTAAGGTAATATTAATAGCTATATATTTTAAAAGCACCCTTTTTATATTATAATAAAACTAGTACTTTTTACCCCTTAAGTAATTATATATAAAGGCTTTTATTATAATATTTATAATAAATATATTTTTATTATAGCGCCCCGCGGTAGTAATATATATAATATATTATAAAATATAAAAATTAAGTAATAAAGTTATAAAGCCTGGGGGCGGTAAAAAAAATATTAATAAAAGCCTTATTAGCAGGGGCGGTAAAAATAATAATAAAAATAGTAATAATAATAATAATAGTAGGGGCATGTAAGTATTAAAATTAAGTTATTTTAATAGCTAGTATATTAATAATTATTAATATATAAGTAAAAGGCAGGGAAATATAATCCTATATATTAAAAGTAAAATAAAAAATAAAGGCTAAAACTAAGGCTTAACTACTATAATAAAAAAATATAAAATAAAATACTATAATAAAATAAATAACTATTAATAATAGTATTTAAAGCATAATATAAAACTATATTAAATATTAAAATAAAAAAAATATAAAGCAAAAGGCAAGCATAAAAAACCTTAAAAAAAATAGGGTTAAAAACACGTGATATAATAAAGGCTATAATAAAAATAAATTATATTTAATTTAATTATTAAAAATAATTTTAAAAATGTAAAAATAACAAGAGCTAAATATAAAAAGCTTATTAATTAAATTAAAAAGGCAAGTGCGTAGTAAAATATAAAAAAAAGGTAAATAAAAGGTTAATATAATAACATGTTAATAGCTAGAATAAAATAACCATATATTATAAATAGTTACTAAAAGTATTAAAAAAAGTATAAAAACAAGAAAATTTAGCTATTTAAAGCTTAAAGCCTTATTATAAAAATTAAGCATGAAATAAAATAAAATATACAGGCCTAATAATATTAATATAAAATTAATACTACTAAAATAAATAATATAATATTTAAAAAATATAAAAAAAGGTAAATATAGGGTATTTTAACCCTAAAAATATAATTAAATAATTAAAAAGTAATAAAAATATAATAAAAAGGTATATACTTATAATAAGCATTTTTAATTAAGTTATAAAAAAAACTTTAAAAAAAATTATAAAGGCACTTTAATATTAAAATTAAAATATTATACCTAGCTATTACAGGCAGCAATACTATATTTAAATTTAAAAATAAAGTAAGGTAATTAAATTAATTTTTTATACCTAACTTTAAATATAAATTATATGTAAACTATAACACTTTATAAACCTAAAAATAACTTATTTTATAATACTTAATAAAATCTATAATTTAAATTATATTTTATAAAGTATAAATATAAATTTATAAATTACAAGGGCGTGATTACTTAAAAAAAAGTATTATTATTATTATTATAGTATTATAATTATATAATATTATAATAATATAATTTAGCAGCCTAAGGCCGCTAGGTAAAAAAATTTTAATATTAAACTAACCGCATGCTAAGGCGGCGGCTAGTTATATAATATATAAAATATTAAGTTTAACTTTAAACTTTAACTTAAAAGAATTAGTAATTAGTTCCTATTATAAATACATAATGCCTTTTTTATTACAGTAATTCATGTTTTCCTAAGCTTACCGCAGTATATAAACACGACTCACATAATTTAGTAATTTAATACCATGGGCGCCATGTATTAAAACTATTTAAAATAATAATATTAAACTAGGCGTTTATAATTAAAAATTAAAGGTTTTTTATAGCATATTATATAGTAAATAAAAAAAACTTTAAAAGTTTAGATTTAAGTAGTAAATAGCTTTAAAAATAACTATATAAATAATATTTAAAAAAGTAAAGTATAACCCAGGCTTATAATTTTTAAAGTTATAAATATTTTAAATAAAAATTAGTTATATAAAATTAGGATAAGAATTAAGGGGTAAATAAAATATAAAATTTTTTAAAATTTAAAATAAATAAAAATATAAAAGTTTAATAGCTAAATATAAAAAAATTTAAGCTATATTTATTTTTTTTTTTATATTTTATTTTTTAATTAGGCCATAAGATCCGGCCAAAGTTAAAGGTTAATTTTTTTTTATCTTTAAAGGTTAGTTAGAGTTATCCAACTAAGTTTACCGCGGAGATCCAAGGGATCTCCACCTCTCGTCCAACACGACGGGATCAACAGTAACTAGGTAGGTCCCTGCCGAGTTGGACCCCACACGTCGGCTTCCAGAAGTAGCCCCGAGAACCGAGCTTTATAAACGAAACGTCATTGGAGATTTCTCCCAAGTTTCTCATACAATCCTGAAGTTTCTTTACGAATTGATATATCAGAATCTATCTTGAGTGACATGGCGACGCTTAGAATATCAGCGCTGACTCTCTCTCGCAAGGCGACGAGCGTTGCTCGGGCCCAACTATGCTTCCGGGCATTCCAGAAAACATGCGGGCGACCAAGTCTGTCTCCAGCTCGCGCTAGATATTATTCTATCGAGTACACCACAATCCAGAAACCAGCTCGTGCTCCAAAGATTGACCGAGCGGCTTCGAAACTTTTCAAAAATGCGGACGAGGCGGTGGCTGACATCAAGAGCGGGTCGACAATCCTCAGTTCCGGCTTTGGCCTTTGTGGAGTTGCAGGTAATCAAGACATACTAGTGTGAAATCCGGATGGTTGTATTGACTGTTCTCAGACACGATCATAACGGCAATTGCTCGTCGAGGGGCCGAAAGCGTCCACTCAATCACAGCAGTCTCGAACAATGCCGGCGCGCCGGGCAAAGGCGGGCTCTCTACACTGACACAGTCCGGCCAGGTTGACCGACTCATCATATCGTATCTTGGGAATAATAAAGCGCTGGAGCAGAAATACCTCACTGGAAACATTGCTATTGAACTGTGCCCTCAAGGAACCTTGGCAGAGCGCCTGCGTGCAGGAGGAGCTGGGATTCCAGCTTTCTATACTGCTACCGGAGCCCGTAGGTTGACATCTCATACATAAACTGAGCCCGGCTAACTGATGCGCATAGACACCTTCCTTCAAGATGGTAAGATTCCTGTGCGTCTTGATGCATCAGGCAATGTATTGGAGCATGGCAAACCCCGAGAAACAAGAATTTTCAATAAAAAGAATTATCTGATGGAGACTGCACTTACGGGCGATGTTGCTATCCTCCGAGCCTGGAAGGCAGACGAGGCTGGAAACTGCGTTTTCCGGTGCGTCACCCGGGCCAATCCAATGAACAGGCACTGACAGTTTTCTCTAGCTACACCACCAAGGCATTCGGACCTATCATGGCCAAGGCGGCGATTCTCACGATTGTCGAGGCGGAAAACATCGTTCCTGTCGGTTCAATCGACCCCAATGATGTTGATTTGCCTGGCATCTTCGTGAACAGGATTGTCCCTTCGACGAGCGAGAAGCAAATCGAGATCAAGAAGCTTCGACAACCGAAAGAAGTTGACTCTACGGCATCAAGTAAATCTTCAGCCATTATTCAAAGGAACCGAATTGCGAAGCGAGCAGCGAAGGAGCTCAAGCAAGGGTACTATGTGAACCTGGGAGTTGGTATGTCTCTTGACTTCATGTGCAGACCCCGTGCTAATCCTGCCCAGGAATTCCTACTCTAGCACCCTCCATGTTGCCTGAGGGTGTCAAGGTTTGGATTCAGTCAGAGAATGGAATCCTCGGCATGGTAAAACAAGAGTCTGTGCGATGATGGGACGCAAGCTAATCGAATGAAGGGGCCGTACCCTACCGAAGATGAAGTCGATGCGTATGCAGCCTTCTTGACTGTATAGGTGCTTGACTGACATGCTACAGTGACATCATCAACGCCGGCAAGGAGACCGTTACCCTGGTGCCTGGCGCCGCGACCTTCGACAGCACCGAGTCTTTTGGGATGATTCGGGGCGGCCACGTCGACGTTTCAGTTCTAGGAGTCCGTCAACCACCTTTCTTCCCGCGCAACTTGTACTAACACCCAGAGTTAGGCTCTTCAAGTGAGCGCGAATGGCGATCTCGCCAACTATATGATACCGGGAAAGGTCTTCAAGGGCATGGGCGGAGCCATGGATCTAATTTCTAACCCCGATCAAACCAAGATTGTCGTCGCGACTAGCCACACCGCGAAAGACGGCTCGTCCAAGATTGTTGCTAAATGCGCTCTCCCGCTGACAGGAGCTAACTGTGTTAGCACGATTATCACGGAACTGGTAGGCCCTTACTAAATATCTCACATCCTAGATCACTAACGACATTAGTGTGTGTTCCAAGTCGATCGAGAGAAAGGCGAGCTCACCCTGACTGAGCTCGCGCCTGGGGTAGATGTTGATGAAGTTAGGGAGAAGACGGATGCTCTTTTCCATGTTGCGGATGAACTAGAGATTATGGAGTAGACTTGGGAATTTGAGTTGGTTCGATTATACCCTGTTATATAGAAGAAGTATATGTATATGTACAGTGTTGATTCTCGAGAGTTTGACCTTGAAGTGGAGGGAATCTACAAGAGCACAATCTGTTGGAGTATAAGGACGTGCTTATAGCCAATTGGCTTTTATGGCCTAGCGGTATATGCGAACAGGTTATGAGCCCGGAACCTATAGAGTCCGTTTGTATTATTCATGCAAACAGATGCTTAATAGGTTAGTCTCTTTAATCGAACCTGAGTGCCGAGCCTTTGCCCGTAAAACCTGGATATCTAGAAAAGAAAGCTAGTGCAAGGGTAATCCATCCATAAACCAAGGGTAAAACAGTGCTATATAAGCCGACCTTCTAGGGGGTGTGGTGGAGTATAAGGACGTGCCTATAGCCAATTAGTTTTTATGGCCTAGCAGTATATGCGAACACAATCCTCTCATTACGCCGGTATTATCTAGTGGAAGCATAAGCCAGTATCTAGCAGTTATGTAGGTAGCCAAGGAGAGACCATACATCATCCTCATCAGTCGAAAGATGCTGTGCCTATTGCTATCACACCCTTTACATATTACCTATACCTACACTATGAGCATTAGACATGGATACACAGGCAATCAAACCCTTGCCAGTTCACCTCTCTCCCTCCCCCTCTCCAACCCCAAAAAGCTAACCAAGATCCCCATATCATAAACACATTTTAAAATACCCGCAAGAGTAAAACTCCCCCCGAAGAACCCCCTATCTGCAAGAACGCCCGTAATCAACGGACCCGCACTTTGCGCACTCGTCTTAACAACATTGATAGCGCCCATGATAGCCGTGCGCTTGTCACTCGGTAACGCGGCCGCTAGGAACGCAGAGCGCGGCGCAACGTCCATATTCTGGGAGCACGCGCGGAGAATTAGGAGCGTTAGGGCGATTGGCAAATTGAAAAGCGGGATCAATGCGAGGCAGATGGCGGATGGAAGGTGTGTGAACACCATTGTTTTGATATTGCCGATGCGTTTTGCGATTGAGGAGGCGAGCAGCATGCTGACTGCGGCGATTATGGAGGTCGTGAAGAAGATCGAGCCCAGGGTTCCATCCGGTAGGGTGAATTTGCGTTTGAAAAAGTAGGTCATCCAGGATCTGATATGCTTGTTAGCTTTCACTCATACCTCAGAGGAGTCTAACATACAGAGAAGCAAGACCCGAAGCAAACGAGTCCAGACCGAAGAGGATAAAAAGACGGATAACGAGCGAGACAAGGTCCCCATCACCCAAGAACGAGAGGAACGATTTCCGCACCGGTTTCTGCGGAGTGTTGCCATCTGCCCGCGTCTCTGTTCGTTCTCCTAGAAGGGGCTGTGTCTCATCGCTGTGCTGCTGCTTCGGTTTTGACGCCTTGCCGTCTGCCTCCACCTTCTTGCTCAACGCCACAGAGAGAATAAATTTGAGAGCACCAATAGCGGCGTAGGCAAAGAAAATCGTCCGGCACGCTGGAATATACTCCCACCCCCTCTTGGTCTCTAGCAAGTTAATGGCCCACCCACAGGCCATTACACCCAGCGCTGTCCCGGCCGTGCCGGAGAGGGAGTACCAGAGCAGGATATCGCGCAGGAACTCCCTGGGCGTGAGCTGCGCCAGCGTTGACTCTTCGACTGCCTTGAAAGGACCGATCTCGTTGCCGCTGCGGCTGATCAGTACACATTCACGCAAAACATATGAGATGACCCACCTTGGACTAATAACCCCCAGCACCGCAGCGGCCAGAAGCCCCCAGTAATTCCCACACAGGGCAAAAACAACCCCGGAGCCAACCATCAACGCAGAACCCAACACCAGGACAGCCCGGCGACCCATAGCATCAGCGAACAGCGTCAGCAGGAAACTAATAGCGACATCACCGACCAGCGTCAGGGTCATAAACAGGCCAATCCGATCATCGGTGATTTTCAGAGCAGAGAGATAAGATGCTAGAATTAGAGTCGAGCCACCGTAGGCGAAGAGGCGGACAAAGCGTTGGGCGATCAGCAGCTTTGTGTCGCGAGGGGAATGCCACACTGAGAGCAGGCCGAGCTCCTCGAGAGTCCTGTGGAGGAGTGACTCAGAGCCGTGGGTCATGTTAGGGGTTATAGGGTGTCGTAAAAATATCTGTGTACGTTTAAGAGCCAGCCTTACTGGCTTCTATATGCAGAGAGCATTGAGTGTGTCGAGAGAGGATTGAAGCTCAAGAATTGCGAGCGAAGACAGCCCAGTTTTGTATGCTCGGAGTCGGAGATCAACAGTAACCTGATACATTCTTGACCCCTCCTAGATGTGTAAGTTACGTATCTAATACAGCCTCGGTACGCTTGCATTTTCGGAGATTGCGATTATCTCGTCTTCTCCGACCTTCTCGGAGTTAGATACTCCACTCTGCATGATGGTACTGGAGCCATGAATCATCCCACTGCCGTGGCTGTCACCATTTCAAGATGTCCCAAATATCATTCATATCCAAAAGCTAGAAGCAACGCAGCCGAAAGGCCAGCCAAAACCATGTTCATATCATCAAGTCGTAGACCAAGTCATCGATCTATATATATTCAATCACAGCACCATCATGAACTTCGGGTCGCGGTCATCGTTGTATCCTTCGTACTTGGCATATTTGCCATTTCTCTTATCCCTGTTCACCTTGGCGCAGTACAAGACATTAAGAAGAATCCTGCATCTCATTAGTATGGAACCAACCCGCACAGAGCTTGATACGTACATAAACCAAGCAAATATCAACAAGCCCATGACCACCGTGTGACCGCGGTGAAACTGCGGCTTATCTTTGTTGGGGTAGATAAAGGCTAGCTGAGTGTCAGCACCTATACAAACGGAAAGCAAGTTGCAGGGCAAAAGGGAGACTGACTCGCAACAAACCCTCCGCAGTTCGCGATCGCAAGCTGCATTCCCGACGTGGTAGCTCGCTTATAATGTCCCGCAGAGTTGTTAGAGTTCCAGACGAGGATACAAGGGACACTGGCATACATTCCCGTTGCCATGAGGAAGGTCATGCCGTACTTTGCCTGGGGTGACGTGATGTTGCCGATCGCAGCGTACCCGGAAATTGCGAGTGGAAGGGAGAATAGCATGATGACGCCTCTGAGTTTGACGCGGTCGGACAAGAAGGAGACGAAGACTATTCTGGTGTTAGAGAAAGCAGCACATAAGAGAGGGAACAGGAATACCTGTTAGCACAGCAGCAACAGCGTATGGTATGACCGTCCAAAGTTGCGTTTGGTTCGCATCGTCAGCAAAGCCACTTTCATCGATAATGGTTGGTAGCTTGAGGTCCATTAGTAACTTGTAATATAAAAAGATTGCAGGTACTTACGAATAAACCAAAAGAGTACAGCCCGGACAGGATAGCAAAGTATGCCGTAGCTGAGAACCACATTTGAGGCTCCAAGAGCCCTCTACGTACTTCAGACCACGCCAAGCTCTCTTCCTCAGCTGCGAGCCTATTTTGTTGTCAGTACACAATACTTTACTGCATAAGAAAGACATACCCTTGGATATGGGGATTCTCCATCTGTATCCTCTCACGGGCAAATCGGCGTTCCTCTTCGGTCAAGAATGGCGTGGTCTCGATGCTATTGGGCAGGGTAAAGAAGCTAAGGCATCCACAGAGGAAAGTCTGGTCCAGGCATTGATCATTAAACAGTGAAAATTTCGGAGAAAATTAGCCTACCAAAATACCCTCGATGATCATGATCCAGCGCCATCCTTCTAGGCCACCTCTAGGGCCAATTTCTGCCAATCCCCGAGCCAGAAGGCCTGGAAAACCCGTTAGCTAGACCTTACGAAGTGGATGATGACGTACCGCCAAAAGCACCAGATAGCGAAGCGGCGGTATAGAACAGACCGATCCGGAGCGCCAGATCGCCTCGTCTGTAGAACGAGGAGAGATAGAGTACCTTGTGGAGTCAGCATTTTCGAGAGGACCGGGCTACACAGACTGACCATGCCGGGGAGTAACCCCCCTTCAGCAATTCCCAAAAGTGCACGGACTGCAGCAAAGCTGCCAAAATTACGGACAAACCCCAGACACATGGTGATGATACCCCAGACTGCCGTGAGCGCGGGGAGCCATATCTTTGGTGAGGCTTTCTTGATGATCAGATTGCTCGGAACCTCGCTATCAATGAAACGTCAGTAGAGTGCGTTGCCGAAGTCTCTGAATACGCGTACCTTAAAATGTAGAAGAGATAGAAGATAGCCAAACCGATGTCGTACTGGTGGTTTGTGATATCGAGATCCTCTTCGAGACCGAGAATCTTTGCGTTACCGACGTTCGTTCGGTCGAGGAAGGAGCAGAGGAAGAGAAGTGCTAGAACAGGCAGGATTCTGTGTAGTAAATAATGCTATTAGTCTTGATACACCAATTGTGAGCGAAGCAGTTACCTGGTATCAAGCTTCCAAAGAATCTTCCTGGCCAGCCTCTCAGCGCCATTATCACCGTCCACGCTGAACGAGTGCTGCTTGACATCATCGGCCATCTCTACCCTAGATTTCTCAGGGTCCATGTTGTGTGGTTGGGATTAGGTGTTTGAGAATACCAGGCACAACCGCGACCGACAACAACAGAAGAGAAAGAGGAGAGGCAAGGGGGAAAATAAACCGCCGACCGGCCAGCTCAGCACGCGCAGGAAAGCTCGTACAAGGCCGGATCGGCCATATTTCTGACGCCGATCAACACTGGTTACAGCAGGAGGTGCAGCGCCCCGAGGCTTGATTTGCTTAACCCCCGCATTCGAGGCCAGCCAAGAGGCCACCCCAGATTGCTTGCCAGAAAGCCAAGCGGGCGACAGGCGGGGTACCAGCCACGCTCAAACGGTCAAACCCAATTGCCAGCCTTCGATCAGTAATCCGGACTCACTTCTGGGGCCGATGGCCGGTCCCTTTGTGTCCAGATCCCTGCCGTGCGACTGCCGACCAGCTCCAAGTCCCCCCAAGTCCCAACGCCCCAACATTGACATCTTGGCCAACGGATGGCATCTTGGCGACAGGTCGGCTTGCTCCGACACGATCTTCCATCCAGAACGGGCTTTCTGGCCTTTCCCCTTCCCCGCACCCAATCCGCTACCTACGCTACGGCTGACATTTCATCCCGCAAAGCCCCGGCGTACCACGACATAACCTAAACGTAGCCAAAGCCAAACGACCATGGCAACAAAGCGCGACCCATTCTCCGCCTACTCGGACGCCTCAAGCTCCTACTGGCCTCCAGGCTGGAATTTCGCGCGGTTCGCCAGCGCCACACCCGCAGATAATGCGACGCTGTCCGAAGAAGAACGCGCAAATATGCAAGCCGGCTTACGCGACGTGCTTGGGGAAGAGGGCGTTGCTGAACTGGCGCGCGTCATGTGGCAGGAGCAATTGCGTGCAATGAGGGCCGAGAAAGAAAAGAAAGCTGTAGCTGCAGGGACGCATGCGCAGCGACGGGTTCCGCCGCCGCCGGCTTGGCTGGAGGCTTGGAAAAAGATGTATAAGGACTCGGGGAAGAGGTGGGGGTTTGTGTGTGTTTGGACTGATGCTGCTGTTTCTGCTGCTGAGGGGAAGGCTGGCCCGGGCTCTGGGGGTGTCGAGGAGTTTCAAGATAGAGTGCGAGAGATCGCTGAGATTCCATTCAAGGCAGCCTTGGAGCAAGGGCAGCCGGCTGAATTGATCGAGGATGCGCGAAAGACGTTTGAGATTCGGTGGGCTCAGTTAGATGACAACAAAGAGAAAGATATGGGCAACACGAACCTCGTCGAGCGACTACGCGCCCGGTACCATTCGATGCAAGAGCCTGGTTCCATTCAACAAGGTCTTGCTCTACCTGTATTTCTCGTTGTGTCTCCGTCGGCAGTGGCCTCGGTTCTGTCGACTTCGGAAGAGAAGCCAGAAGCGACAAGCTCGGGTCGGCGATCCGAAGCGCCGTTCTTGCTGGCCGTTGCAGCGGAGGAGGAACAGGATGTTGTGGATGACGACGAGGAGGCCAATGTACCAGTTGGGCGCAGAGCGGACAAGGATTCGTTCAAACCTGTCTTTAGAGTCGCCGTGGAGGTGCTGGTGGGCGAGCTCTGGCCGGTTGTTGAGGAGCAGATTACGACGCTAGATAAGATGACGACTTATGTGCAGGGGGCAGATGTGACGGAGCATGCATTGCCAATTCATGATGATGAAGAATGTGAGGGAGCTGGTCAGGATGAAGATGCCTTGGATGCTATATGGTGGTCGATGCATCCGCCGCCACATCGGATGAGGAAGAGGAGAAGGTTGTTTGGCAGTGGATAATTTTCTATTACTGTTCTCTGCCCATTTGAACTTATCTCATCGACCTTTTCTCTCTTTACCCTGGATACCTCGCAGAACGCCTGGAATCACTTAGAGATTACCAGAGTCCATGCTTTATGCTTGGTGGCTTGCAACTGTTGTTCCTTCGCACCGTCACCCTGGCACAGTGTCCAAAATGAGACAAACAGTGCGCTCACTCTAGCGTGAGACTACACGGATAGCCCACTCCTGCAACCATGACACATCTGTTAAGGCGCCGTGAATATGATACCGTAAGCGAAGCAACAAGGAAAGCCGCCGCTCGAGAAACCCCTACCTACTACGGTGGCCCCGTGCTCACTCTGAGTTGGATGCCGAAGCAGAGCTCATCCAGAGACAAATTTGCATATACTGCAGAGCCAATGCCCACGGCTCTTCCACAAGCCTCTTGATTGTTGTATACGAAGATCAATCCTATGAAGCGAACCTATGTGACTGTCTTGCTCTGTTGTAAGCTACCTGTGCAAGAGAATACAAAGATAAGATGTTTCGAACAATATCCCACAATCCCTTGGTCGTCCGTGGAAGCTGACTGAGATGTTAAAAAGCGTCCACAATCCAGGAATCAAGGTGTCTCAACCTCATGCCAGAGAGAATGCCAGCACAAACGAGAATAAACTTTCATGTACCCTCGTTTATAACGAAAACGCCGAGAAGATGTCAATTTCCTTACGGCCCAGTGTCAACAATCCAAGAAAGCTCCAGACGTCAACTGAATCATAGCCGGTATGTTAGCCAGCAGAGATCTGAACTGGACACAAACGCCGCTTCCATGCTAATGCTCGGCGAGCCGGCTGGGATTGGGCATGTCGAGCACCCTGCCAATTCCTCTGCCTCCGCTTGCGAGACTGACGTCTTGCCTCTGAAGAGAATCGAGGCGCATCTTTGTCGTCAGCCGTATCTGAGCCCGGTTATAAAGGAAGTGAAAAACGCCTTTGATACGTTGCTACTTGCGTATAGTCCATACGCAGGCCTGATGAGACCGGTAAGAATGATAACCACATCATTGATGTTCAAATGGTGACAACTCTGTCAAGATGAAAGGTATCTAGCAACCTATATGTCCTAGGCAGTCATCTGCGCCACCTTCAACGCCAGATTCGTATTGATATCTGTTTTCAGACTTCGCAACAACGTGTCCATGCTAGTGATCACTGTGGGCGCGTAGGTGTTCTGTGCCACGCTGCCCGCCCAAAACAGAATCTCCTCGTCCACATACGTCTCGAAGGTCTGGCGCACCTTATCTACCTGCCAGTTTAGATAAGCCGGCATGATCTCCCTCCAGGATTTCTCGAAGTCATAATTCACACCCTGTGTCGCCGCGTATGTCGTCAGGTCGCCAAACAGCTTCGCGATGTTATCGAACGTCGAATGAAACGCCTTCACCACATCGTCTTCGCGGCGGTAGTTGTGCATGTCTACTACATCAAGGAGAATCCCTATACGCTCCTGTGGGTTATAGTTGTCCCACATGTTTCGCGAAATGAAGTCCCACCCCTTGACCATGTATTCTTTGTACACGTTGAAGTCACGGTCGCAGACCTGGAGGTTGTCGATGAATCTATTTGACAGGCCTGAATCGCTAGTGCGACCCAGAAGCCCCGTGAAATAATCATTGATATTCCCTGCCCAGTTATGCGTGAAGGACAGACTCGTGTACGTTGTGGTCGGCCAGTTGTGTTGGAAGATGCCGTTCGGCCCAAACACCTGAGCAAAAGGGACGGCCCCCTCGGTTAATGGAGTGTGACTGGGTGTCTCACCAGAGGCCATGTACTCAAGCGCGTTGCGAAACTCCTGCTTCTCCAGGACGTGCTCAGTCACCCAGTCCGTGCCACTGGCGAGCGTGCTGAGACCGGTTATGCCCGCCGCGGCACAGAGACCTTGTTTAGCGACCGTCCAGGCTCGGCCGGTTGTGAGGAGTATGCTAGATGCGCCAGGATATTGCTGCACCCAGATACTTGATCTTTGGCCGTTTGGGCCACAGAGAGCCATTGCGACCCTTTCGCGTGCGCCGCGCGGGAAAAGGTCGCGCTCTGCAAGAAGGAAAGACGTTTCCAAACCAGCTACTAGCTGTGACTGGGATGAGTTGGACACGGGTATGTCTCTCCTCTCTCTGAGGAGCGCGGTTAAGTCATCCGTTCCGCAGGAGTAGTCGAACTCGTCTTCCTCGTCATAGACATTTGGCAGGTTGGACTCTTCCTCTAGCTCGCTCTCCAGACTGTCGAGATGGTTAGGGCCGTAGCAGAGGTTGATATCTGGCAGCTCAGGAGACGCAGGCTGGTTTGGATCCGCGCAGCAAAAGTACGAGTAGGTACCGGAGCGACAACCCCAACCGTCCGTGGCAACTGTTGTCTCGCCAGGCTCGCAGCCTGTCTTACAGTCCGTCGAGAAGTCGAAGAAGAGGGACCCCAGAGGCCCAAAGAGGAGGTTCTCCCACTGTACCCAGGCCGTGTTTCCGGCGCGCCATTTGCAGTCCTTCCAGGGCGTTGGATTCTCGCAGCAGAAGCTCTTGAACCCGCCGTTATAGCTGCAACTTTGCTGTCCCCCTTGGCCCTGCTTAGCCTTGGTGAGCTCGTTGGGAAGACGATCATCGTCGCCGCAGCCGTAGGACTCAAAAGAAAGGGCGCCACCTAGCGGTCCCAAGGCAGACCCAAAAAAGGCACCGGCGGCGCAGATAGGCGCGGCGCCAAACCACTTGCAGGCGTCGAGGACGTCTGTTGACTCAGTCTTAGTACAGCAGAGCGACTTGTGGCCCGTCCAGCAGCCGTCGGTGCTGGCCGAGACCTCAATCTCCTCGTCGTTGCAGCGGTTCTTGGCCAACAGACCACAGAACTTGGGACTGCCTTTCCATTTGCAGGTTGGCGGGCTCTTGGAGGGGCAGCAGAAGTAGCGTGTTCCCTGGTTACAGCCTAGCTCGATTCCTAATGGGTTCTTATTGCTCGAAGATTCTTCGACGGGGATTAGGCCCGAGGGACAGTCGGCACCGCACTCACCCCAGACGCACTGGCTGGGGTCGTTGTTCGCGTGTGCGGCGAGCACGGGGACTGTCAGGTCGGTGCGCCCTGCTGCCTTGGCCAGGGCCCGGATGGCGGTGCCTTTGTGGTCGTCCGTTGAGGCGGCCCAGACCATCACCCCGCCCAGGCAGAGCTCGTTGGCGTAATCCATCTTGGCTTTGAGGGTCTCATCGTCGTCGTATGAGACCCACTGGTTCGTGTCCCAGGTTACCATCTGCACGCCTGCTTTCTCATCATGGACCACCTCGGCGCCACCCGCGTCGATGATGTCCTGAATCTCAGAGAACATCAAACTTCCCGCTGACGCCGAGCACTTGCCGGGATTGCCCCCAGCCGAGAATCCACAGCCCGGGGTGTTGCATGCCGGGTCCGACAAGGTGAAGCTGCGGCCGTAGAAGCCCATTCCCATCACGACCTTCTTAGGGTCAATGTCGTTACGCCAGAGGAGCTCCAGTGCGAGGTCAATCTCGGTCAGATTAGTGTGCGAGTTGATGTACGGCCCCAGGTAGGGGTTTGTGCCATCCCAGGTGCCGTGCAGGTCGTAGCTCATGATGTTGAACCAGTCGAGGATGGGCTCCATATTCTTGATGTCAAAGTGCTGCAAATACCAGAAGGAAGCCGGAAGGGTGATGGTAAGTCCCCGGTTTCCCAGCACAGCTTTGAGGTTCTTGAGAAATGAGACGAAATTCTCAAAGTCTTCAGGGGCACCGGAGCGCTCCTCTGCTACACTGCATTCTAGTCAGCGTATGATCCTGCGAGGCAAGAGATGGCAACATACGGGTACTCCCAGTCAATGTCCACACCGTCGAAGCCATACTTGTCCATGAAGGACAGGAGGGACTCGAAAAATACATCTTGATGGTCCGTGGATGCTGCCAACTCGGAAAAGGTTCGCTTTGTGGGCTGATCAGGGTCGTTCATACTCCAGCCGCCTATGGCAATCTACAACGAGGTTGTTAGTCCTATCTTCCTGACCATTCAGTTTCTGACGTACCCAAACTTCCAGACTAGGGTTGTAGTTCTTCAGTGCCGTCAATCGCGGCATATACTCCTCGTCTGAGTCCTGCATATTGGCGATTCTATAACTCTCCGGATTGATAAAGGCAAACGCATAGTTGAGATGCGTATACGCCCCTATCAGCAAGTCCTCCGGGTTAACTGCCGAGAGCAGCGAGAGTTAGCAGAAGGCCACGGGAAAAGAGGGAGCGAGAAAGAGAGACTCACGCCCATTGCACTTCTTACTCGTCGACCACCCCTCGTAATACCCGATCACCTTCTTTCCCGCGCTCGTGCCCCCCGGACAGCTGGGCTTGGTCACTTTCTCATCGCCGCAGAAGTCCTCGGTCGTACCGCAAAAGCCGTACTCAGAGCAGCAGACATTGAGCGGGCAGTTTGATCGCTCACTCCACTGCCAGCCCCATCCCGGGTCACACTCGCTTTTTGCGTCGCAGGTAGAGGTGCAGTTCTCCGGGGCGCAGTAGGAGGGGCCCATGCCACAGACCTGTTTCTCGTGAGTTCCTGTTGGTCATTCTGCAACAAAACAACTTACATTGTTCTTCCCGCAGCACCCTAGCTTACATGGTCTGTCGGGGGAACAGGAGTAGTCTTGCTGTGCGTTCACATTGACGAGGGAGACAAGACAGACCAGAGCTGCGAGAATAATGCATAAATTGAAGTGGTAAGAGTATAGCAACATGATGGCGAAGATTTGCAGTCTTTCTGACACGGGATAACCAGCCCATCGGCCGTATAGCCGGGTCTTTAAACCATCTCCTTGTCCACCAGTCCATCTGTTCTAGCTCCTCACCCTCAGCGTTCGACCATGACCAGTAAGGGAAGCGCCGCGTGAAATCCCGCCAGCTCCGGTCTTGTCAGGGGCACATGGACAGATACCTGCATGAAGGATCGGACTCCCTGCTCAGGTAGTATTGCGTAAAGCATTTAATATCGTGATAGATATCCTGATCCTGCTACCTCTATGCCCGACAAGGGGCGAGGCTTGTAGATCGGCACCGGTCTGGGACAGCCCTAAACGGCGACTCCGCATCCTGGAACTGCGGGAAACGAGGCCTGACCACACGAATTTCGACAAGGACTAATCTATCTGATGCAGGAGATCATTTCAAAAGTGAGACATTCTAGATAAGGTCGAGGGTTTCCCCTCTTTTCATGCAGGGACCAGGGCTTAGGGCTATGTGATGTGACATGACTTGCATAAGCCGCAAACCTCAACCCAATCAACAGGGTGCGTGCTTCTCCCAGAGGGTCAGAGGATCAGACCTTGAGACAATACTAAAGAGCAGACACGGACACAATCCCGGGGTAATTTCCGGATGGGCTGGTCAGTTGCAGCAGGGTCTGATCGAGGATCGAGATGCGCAGATTGATTGGTGCACATAGCGAGCCCCTGACCGGGGTGATCATGGAGAACTTCAAGTACAGAGAGGTTACAGTATCCAGCCGGATAAGAGGTTGCATGGTGTTGTGATCCCAGAACTTTAGGAGATTTCTACTCCCTTGACGAACGCAAAGGAAACGATTGACCTCCCTCAGTCCTCATATCTCCAGCACCCACCCGTGGGTTTGCGTTTCCTAGCAGTTCTGTACTCCAAAAGAAAACAAAATGTGGACTACTATCATTATCTTCCTCCTGCCAGTGGCCCTCGCCGCCGACCAGAGCGTGAGTCTGTACTCAGTCCTACATACAAGTACGTGCACTAACCGTCAAAACAGTTCTTCTTCTTTATCAACCAGACCGAAACCCTTTTCTCCGGCATCTCCGCACAATGCAATCTAGCCCTGTCTGTTCCTATCCCAGAGTGTCCGCAGGAGCTGCTCAACCTCCTCGGCAGTAGCGAGTTCTACACTGTTCAGAATGAGACCATGATGGACATCCTCTGCCGAGAGCCATGCCCGCCGGCTCTTGAAACCTACCGGTCGAACGTGCAAGAGGCCTGTGCCAACGATCCACAGCCCCGAGCTGGCTACCCGGCCACGTATTGGGCGGATGCGGTGTCCTCTGTGCAGACGCAAATGTGCCTCAAGGACTCCACTACGGGCCAATACTGTACCCAGTTCCTTGAGCAAACGCTGGGCGATGCAGCCGACCCAACGGACCTGCTAGGAGGGTATACCACAGAACAGCTGTGCTCAGAGTGTATCGTCAATCTTTTCCAGCACCAGCAGTCAACCCCCTACTCCAATTACGACGTCGAGATGTCAGAAGCCTGGGCTGAGATTCAGGCCCGCTGCAACCTCGAGTACCCAACGGCCACACCGACTCTCGAGACCAATGTGACAAGCCTAGGGAATTACGCGCCGTCAGGCTATGCCACAGCTGCCTGCGTCGGCAGCCGCACCTACGAGGTCGTCAGCGGCGACAACTGTGTTGATATCTCCAAGGCAAACCACGTGTCAACAGGGTCCCTTATTACCCTAAACAGTCTGCGCATGGATTGCACGAACCTGCTACTTGGCCAAACCCTCTGCCTGCCACCGGAGTGCGACGACTATGTTGTGCAGAGCGGCGACACCTGTATTGATATCGCTGCCAAGTTCTCAGACGTCTCCTACCAGCAAATTGTAGCCTGGAATCCGACGATCAACCCCTACTGTACGAATCTCCTGGCCGACCAGAACATCTGCGTCGGCCCGCCAGGTGGCGTAGCAAACTTCACCACCGTGCCCGGGGCCACGGCCACGCAGACAGAGCTCTACGCCACCGAGACCGCCACCAGACCGTCGCCAGTCGCGGAGGGAACGACTACCAGGTGTGGGAAATACTACCTCGTGCAGCCAGTAAGCCTCTCAATCAACACCCCCAGTAATCCTCCATTAACACAACAAAACACAGGGCGACTACTGCGAAATTGTCGCTCTCAACCAAACAGTCTCACTCAACGTCTTCCTAGCCATGAACCCGCAGATCGACTCCTCATGCAGCAACCTCCTCTCAGGATTCAACTACTGTGTGCAGCCGACGCGCGACTTCAACACAACCACCACATCGCCCGTCGTCCCGGCGCCAACCTCCACCCCACCGGGTACAACAACCGAGTGCTACGAATGGTACATTATCCAATCCGGCGACTACTGCGCCAAAGTGACAGACCAGTTCGGAATCACCTTCGCGCAATTCCAGGCCTGGAATCCAGCGGTTGCGGACGACTGCTCGAATCTCCTTCTTGATGTCGCGTATTGCGTCAATGGTGCTCTTACGGTTGCGTCGACTCCCGCTGCGGCGGTGGCTTCTCGTCGGACTTTAGATGCGAGATTGGAACAGGACCGAGATCTCTCTGGCATGGTGAGGCCCCGAAGCGGCCCTGTCCAGACTCCAGCGCCGGAGTCCGCTGGCGGTGGTGTGGCGATAGGTTGGCCTGGGGTGAACTCGCCCAGACTGAGGCAGCAGATGGGATTGGGAATTGATATATCCTAAGGAATGGTCCATTCTAGTCTCCAGGGCGAGAGATGAACTAAGGGTTGGTACGTAATTCCAAGTGGCATAAGGCTGGACTTCGCCTTTTCAGTTGGTGGTCTAGAAATGTTCGACTGCTTAGTGCATCGTATCAGATAGCAGAAGGATAATATCATTGGGTTTGGGCTGACTGGCACGAATCCTGGAATCACTGCATGACATCCATGTAGGACGGGCTATCTGATGGTCTGAGCAGCGCTGCATCACGCCTTCTCTTCGGCTGATTTCGCAAGAGGGGAGATAGCCCGTGTGCTCTTCTCTTATGAGAGGAGGCTCTTTTCGCACGGCGCCAAATGGAGCTTATGAGGACGCAAATCCGTACTTTAATAATTCTTGAATCTGTTCGCGTTGATCACCCACAGTTCTGTTCACACAACATCGCTTGACAATGAGGTGGATCGAGTCAATAGCGAGACCAGTAGAAAAGTAGACGCCAAAGAAGAGAGAGAGTCTGTACGAACAGAATACCCCTTATCAGGCTCCAACTGACCCGTCCAGCTCTGGAAGCTCGACTTGGGGCTTCTGACTATCGGGTTCTTGGGTTATGTGTTCAACTACCTCGACCAGAACAATATTGTATGGCGCGCCCATACATACCAAGAAATGAGCTGAGCGTTACGTCTTTAAAGCAATGCGTATGTCGCTAGGATGAAATCTTTAAAAAACATGGATAAATTGAAAAGAAACTGCAGGACGACCTGTAGCTGTATGGCAATGAGTTGAACTCTGATGCACCCCCTTAAGCGAGAGGGTTCTGTGCCTGCACGGCTTTCACGTCATCCATTCTCTGTCATGTCCACTCCCATCCAGGCAATTTATCCAGAATCATCTACAGCCTACTTTTGAACAATCATCGGGCACAATAGACATTGGATGAAAGATGTCTCCGCCGCGTGTGGACGGCGGAATCTGCCTGGTGCAGCCAGAAGGGCGATCTGGTTCATACCTGAACCTAGGGAAGGATATGAGTTTAGTCTAGGTCCGGAACACCGATGAGTGAGTCAACTTGCATATTTCGTTTTAAATTACATTCATCACACAGATGACAGGTCAAGGGAGTACAATACAAGGGTGCCCGCCAGCACGAAGCCGATCAAACAGCGACTTGCCCAGCTGCTCCCCGAATTCGTTGCTATCCGAGCCTCTCGCGCACCCTCGCGTTGGATCAGCGCCTCGAATGGTTCCAACAACATAGGGGGAAGCGAGAAGCGGAATCAAAGCGGAAGCCTCGTGGGCTTCAGCATCCCTGTCGGCAATGACGATGGTCCTTTTTCCGTTTGCAGCGCTGGCGGCCAAAACGCGTCCTACCTTGTGGCTCCTGTGAATATAGACCGGGGCTCTATGGACGATGTATGGAGTATTGAGAAGACGCTGGTGCTCTTCAAACAGCTCTTCAACTACCACATGGGTTTCGCCAACGAGGAAGACGTTGAAGTCGCATGCAGCGAAGAAGAGAGCCAGCGCGACCAGGAGTGCCCTTCGTCTAGCGCCACCCTGTACGAGCAGACATCCGCCTTTAGCAGAACGGAGTGCGTCAACAGCACGCATCCCAACCTCGTGCCACGGCCTGAGCCGCCGCCGTAGGTCTGCTTTGGCCAGAGAGATTGTCAATCTAGCTACCCCCTTCAGCAGGTCGACATCTGGCAAGGCAGTCGGCTCATGGTTCAGCAGCAGCGGGCCCCAGCCAGAGCGAGCTACTCCACTGTGCTTGAGTATCTCGAGAGCCGCCAGCTTTTCCATGATTATTGCACCAGGTGTCGAGAAAAAGATCCATCCGTGACACGATGCATTGAAACTCAAGCAGTTCGAAAAGAAGGAATGCGAATAATCAGTGATCTTAATGTGGAACATCCTACCGGAAGAGCGAGACCAGGTGTTCACGGAGATATACCCCTTTGCAATTGGTCCCTGCAAATGTCCAGCATAAGGCGCCCAAAGTTTCAGCTGCACGCCGCCGGCCATACTACCCAGGATCTTTTCAACATCGTCAATGTAGCGCAAGGTACGAACTTGAGCAAGGACCACGACCTTGGGGTTAACACTCAATATAGAGATGTTTACCGGAAGACCTTGGATCCGATTGAGCTGCAAAGACCGCTGTTCGGACTCGATTGCCGTGGCATAAGCCATGACCGCCAGATAGTGGTCCAAGTCGTAAAAGTAGTTTTGCGCTATAAAGGGCACGATTTGCTGGCCCCAGCGCTTCTTCACCAATGCACGGGAATTCTGACGCATAACCAGCGGGTAACCAGACCCTTCGTCTAGGCAATAGGGGGCCCAAGCATAATTCCTGGGGAGCGAATTGCTGAGGTCGCGGAGGGCGCACAGAAGGGCACCGCACATACTAACTTTGCTACTATCGACAACGATGCGGAATTTCACTGTCCGTTGGGTGGAAGAGGCTGCCTTGGTCAGGGAGCGCATATAGTTCCATATGGAACCGGATTCGGGGTTTTCGTCGAAGCCAGGATCCCTATAGAGGCGATGGGAGATCCCACCAGTCGTATGAAATTCAACGTCGATGGCACACAGGCCGCCATTATTCTTCTCGTACTGCTCGGTTATCCAAAGGCCCAAAACACACCATGTTTCTTGAGGGTCGTTGGAGGCGTGCAGATTGAAATCCAGACAGGTGCAGCTGTCCTTGCCAACTTTGTCCTTGTCAGCTTTTCCCTGGCTGACTTTATTTTGGTCAACGTCTGTGAGAAAGCGCAACTTTGCCGCCACGGGTCTGTCGACAATTGTGAACTGGACTCCCGCCTTTTTGTCGTGGAGTAGGGCAGTTGACGGCATCCATTGAGCTTCCCCATCACCAGTCGGCACCAGGAACTGTATCCATTGTGGAGTTGGACCTCTAGTGTACAAAATGTCGGCGTCGACTTCTTCGATGGGCATCGTGGACTCGGAGGAGACGAGGGTGCCCGTGTCCTATAGATGTGTCCGGTTAGTACCTGCTCTTCACAAGGCCGCAACTGGCAAGAGAATCGACTCCCCAGCAGCGGGACTGGATTAACCAAGCATACCTGGGAGTTTGCAGCACCAACACTGCCAGCCGGCACTGACTGCTCAGACTCACGAGGTTTCTGTGCGGCGACGGCGATCCCGACGGCTTGACCAGGCTCGGACGCGAGGGTCATCTGGTTGACCGTGCTCTTCGAGTCTGACATCGCGACAGGCTTCTGGAGAAACACGCGACAAAAACTCGCAGACGACTTTGGACGCGACAAGAACAAACCGGTATGCGATTGGAATCGGCAGGGAAAAAGGAAATTAGAACGCGGTTGCTGATCGGGTTCTGCAGTGGATTGTTTGGCCAGAGGTAGAGACAATCAGAGGAGGTGCAGGTGCAGAAAGGAAAGAGGGGATGGGCCGCAAAGACGAGTTCGCTTTTATCTTGAGTTGCTTAGTCGGCGGATTATGTGGTTGTATTGTCGTGGTCCTGTCGTGAGATACAGCACTAGTCACAGGCCATTCACAGAGGCAAGCTGTGCTGCTTGAACAGCAGGAAACAGATCTTCACGGAGGATAGGGCTGCCCTTGTCACGCAGGCAGGTTATTCCAGGTACCTATCTATATTTCAGCTTGATATACCTGGTGTTCTACTTTCTCACGGGTAGGGATGGCCAGGTTGAATGTGGTTGATCATGGAGTCTGCTGGAACAGTGAATGAAAACTAGCAGGTAAGTTGGGCAATGTTAAAGTCATGCCCATGAGCAGCAGCCTGTTTGACCTGATGTATTAACATTAGAGTTGAAAGACCAGTATTCAGCATATACACAGTGTCTATTAGGTTTGTATATCAAGGACCTTGGTATGGCACTGTCCATCATTCAAGAAAGTTCCAGAAGCAGGCACGAACCTTCACTAAGATTAAGGACAATGAAAGTAGTGAACATCGATCTGAAAGGCTGACGATAAATCAGTTTTGCAAGGGTGCAATGTCTTGTATCAATCAATGGGATCAATAAAGCGGAATATATATCATTAGTTTTGTCATATATGGCGTATTTATTTCTACATTCCCTGCCCCCGATCTATACATTTGCCTAAGCAGGTCTATTTGCGGCAGCAAGACACTGAAAGCTAAAAGAAAAGGTCCTTTCTCAGGCAGTATCATAGGTATAACAGAGCACATCACCCTCAGTATTAAGCAGGGTCTCAAGAGTCGCATTCCCCGCAAGCCTGCCGATATTAACCGTAAAATCAAGGGTGACATTCTTCCCACTGTAATCCAGCGGCTCAACCGGCCCACCAACCTCATGAAGACGGGCCGGAAGATCCTGCTGCTGCCACTCCCACAGGATCCGATCTAGGTTGCCGTGGTGGAGGTAGAAGAGAGGATCGCCGGGGCTCTCGTACTGGTTTCCCAGAGTGCCCAGGACACCGCCGACACCGAAGTGTCCGCTGCCGTGGATATTGGGCTCGGTGAACTGGGGGATGTTCTCGAGGGCACGCGCAAAGGTCGTGTAGTCGGGCTGGCTCTGGACATGGTCGACGAGGCTCTGCGCCGCGAAGCTGTTCATGATCCAGGGGATGTAGTCTCGCTTCAGGCAGCCACCGCCGGCGTGGTGGAGCTGGAACTTGTCCGAGGTGAAGGGGCCATTCTGGACGCAGCCTCCGCCGGTGCGGCCGGTGAGGTTGAAGGGGTTGTCGGCTGCGTCGGTGATCGCGACCCAGGCGCCGTTTCCGCCGAAGCCGGTGTCTGGATCGAAGATCTCAGTTTCGAAGATGGCGGTTGATGAGAGGTTAGTGGAGGCATCTTGCGACCAGTTCCAGTAGCTGGTGGGAATCAGCACGCTTTGCCCGATATACTCTAGAGAGACTAGAAACTCACGGCTGGGCACCAGCGTATCCACATTCCTCGCGCAGTGACTTCTCGTAAGAGGCAACAAAGTACCGATGCCACAGCAAGAAGTGGCCCTGAGAATGAACGGTGATCAGCGCGATCGGCAAAGGACGAGACAATCCTGTAGAGGTCTTACCACAAAGTGGATATATGGTGTCTGATCTGAGTGAACCGCCTGGAAATCGTCAAAACGGTTGACAGTACCGTTTAGTCCGGATTTGGCGTCCAGAGTTGTCAAGCACTGAACGGCCTCAATGTACTCGGCCTTCTCTTCGACAGTCAACTGTCTCCTAACATAATTTCAGTATGGGTCAACGCACAAGTTTCAACCACGAGCTTACCATTCTTTGCGCACGGGAGGGTTGCTGCACGTTGCGCGGCGCCCATGAGGGGAGCCGGAGGCAAGGTGCAGGAGTGCCAAAGAGGAGAGGAGCTTGGCAAGACGCATTTTGAATTTTGTCTGAAACACGAGCCACGGCCTGGAAGATTCCAATGTTGCAGGGGAGACCGCGGGCTTATGAACACAATAGTCGGGCCGTCCGGCTATGACTTGTTCGGCAGGAGTCTGGAAGCCCTAACGCCGGCTTCAGTGCTAGGATGGGCCAACACCGCCGAGCCAGTTAGCCTTGCTTAGCGCTGCACCGGCGTGGGCTTGGTGGGACGCGGGAGGGTAATCCCTGTCAGCTCATCTGGGGGCGCACGCCTCTGCATACGAGACCCACCCATAGAGTGCAGGGGGGCTGGAATACGGAGTAATGTCCTCGTCAAATGCCTCAGTGTCTGTTGTGGCTCGGCATCACCGGCCCCATCCCGAGGTTCGGTGTCCATATACACCGCTCGTTTGACGCGATTGACTTTGGCCAGGATTGCATGGTTTGATAACATTCTCCAAGTTTCATCGGTTCCTGAACCTTCGTCTCCAACAAAATGTCCGACAACGACATGGTTTCTGGCCTCCTGCAAATCGCGACTAAAGAAGGAGCAACCCCAGCGTGGGGACTGGCAACCAGTGGCTAATGGGCCACGAATGCCAAGGCAAGAGTACGCAGTCTCCAATAGGAACTTGAAATGAGGCCAGATGGGTGTTTGCAGTATATTCATTCGAAATCGCTTCCAGAATGGTCGGAGATTGCGCATTGAAGCTTCGAATCGATCCTGGTTGATGTCTCTGCGTTCGCCCAATGGGATCCGGTAGGCTTCGATATCTCTTAGAAATCGTCTCCGGTTTGCCCAGTCCTCACTCTTCAGGGCTGTCGCAGTGGCTCGGCGAGTCCATGATCCCGGCCCCCGGGACTATCGATTGAGTAAGTTCAGATCGTTCTTGATGCTGTGGAATTGCAACCCCGGTCCAGAATTTAGTGGCTCTTGTTGATTTCACAGGTGATGACGGTTTCAAAGTCTCAAACCCCCTTTCCATTTATTAACCTAGCCGGACCCTGAAAGACCATCGCGATGAGTAGGACCTGTATGTAGTTTCATGACTCCCTCGTGAGACTGAACATATGCGATTGTCTCACAATCTCGCTCAATCCGAATCATGGCGTACATCTCGGCTAGCCATGGCTCGTTGCAGCCGATGTTCCTCATTATCATGAGCATTTTGCTGTTCCTCTCAGTCGTCACCGTCTCACTGCGGGTGTTCTGTCGAGTTTTTCGCGTCCACAAAACAGGTATCGATGACTATCTCATCGTAGCGGCAACCGCCGTAACCGTTGGGATGGGAATCATGAACGGGTTTCATGTCGCGGTAGGAACAGGGTACGTCGTGCTTTCTTACACTCTCGCTTCCCAATTGACCTTCTACAGCCAGCATTGGGAATATTTAGATCTGCCAGAGGTACTGGTGCCCACGCTCAAACATTGGTATGCCTACCAGCTGGTCTACCCGATCACGGTCGGGCTCGTGAAGTTCAGCATCTTGACGCAATATTATCGGATCTTTGAGACCAGAAACTTCAGAGTCCAGGTCATCGTGGTTGCGGGATTTGTTATGCTGTACACCATCATTTGCATCTTCGTCAATGTGCGAAATTTTCCTGGAGTCTCGTTTGCCTGGGGTACTGACGTGTTTATTGACAGGCGTTTGAATGCCACAACAAGCCATGGCGAGCGTGGGACCCCTCCTTCCCCCAAGGCTGTAACAACCTCTCAGCGATGTACTTCTCGACGGCAGCGATAACAATTTTCACGGATTTGGTAATCCTGGTCATGCCGATACCTCAGTTAATAAAGCTGAACCTCAACCCACGAAGGAAATGTATGCTTACCTGCTGTGGATCATGGGACGCACCTCTAACTGCCGACATAGATGCCCTGGTAGCCATCTTTTTAACAGGAACATTCGCATCGGCCGCGTCGATCGCCCGCCTGAACGCACTATACAAATATACCGTCACCGACGACGTCTCATACGATGCCATCCTGATCCTCCTCTGGTCGCAAATCGAGGTGAATGTCGCCATCATCTCCGCCTCCGCGCCCTCCCTCCGACCGCTGTTTAACCGTATCTTCAAGGGCTCGTCGTACGGGCGACCGCGGCCCTCGAACCCTCCAGGATATGGCACGTACGGACACGGCGAATCTAATTATCGACGTACACTCACTCACGGAAAGAGCCACGGTGCGATCGAGCTCACTTCTCGTGATGACGATGCGGATACTGCCAGAGTGCACGGTGTTACTCGATCCAGCTCACGAGCTCGAGAGTTAGTCGAAGAGAATGATAGCCGAGAGCACATACTCGACCAGGATGCAAACATTGTGAAGACGGTCGTGATAGAGATGAGGAGCGAGGGTAGGACGTGACGAGGCGCATAAAAGAATTTGTGTTTATTAATTGGGAGGGATGGCCGGATAAAATGGCTTGGAGTTTGCGATTAGAAAAGGCGTTGAGAGGTTTCCACGTCGGATCTGAAGCATGATTGATGCTCTAGGATGGACTTATACTCCATAATTAGTATAAGAGCATGTTCTCTTAATAAAAACCGTTTTACCTTCATTTGGCTCCATCCGGACCCGACAACGGCCGAATCTCGTGCTTGCTCGCTCGCGATGCAAGGGAATTAAAAAGCTGTGCATAGAAAATACCACGGGACGTTAAAACAGGATATCCAGGAGAGGTCGAGATCGACCTGGAGCATCCACAGATCAACCATCATTGACTTGTCGGATCTTGGAAAGCGATCGATCGTGCGGAGGGAGTTGTGGATAAGTGTGGGCCGGACTTCGAGCCGATGGACCGGAGTTGGTCCGTGACTACAAGATCGAACGATTAAAGCAATTATTTGAGTACAGCAAATATATAAAGTACAGATAGCCGGAGCCCAGACTTTTAACAAGGGTATCATAACCAAAGGTCATCAAACATGAGATTACAGAGCCCATCCGTCACAAATTACCCCCGCCAGGAAGAAAGCCACCTCGAATGCCGTCGTATGGGCGGAAGAGGCTCAGTGTGCGTGTTGATATTCCGATACCTTACTGGCGAGCGCGACGGACTAAACGTTGAAAAGGACTCCAGTTGGGTATCCTGGTTCAGCTTCTTGGAGGCCAAGGTGTCGATCCTGGAAGAGTTAGTAAGGAGCCATCTTCATCAACATCGATAAAGACTTACAGCATCACAAGCGGGAACAGGCACTCCATCGTATACGCGAAGCGATCAACTTGCCCAGCGACCGTAGTCGCAGACTGCGACGTGACTTGCGACGAGTAGGTCACGGCGCGTGTGATGCCAATGAAGCAGAGGCTCGCGACGCGGATTTCCGTTGTACGGAGGAGGTACCGGAAGACGAGTCTTGTGGAGGAGACCTTCGGCGAGACCTGGTAGGCGTTGTGCAGGAGGCGGATGAGGAAGAAGGAGCTCCAGGTCTCGACAAGGGCAATCGTCGTAAAGTACCCCACGTGAAGATAGCCGATTTGGTGCTGGTATGGGCCACCGGAATGGATGGTGTTTGTGCCACTGGCGATGTCCAGGATGCGGTAGACGAGGATAGTCATGCGAAGCGACGCAATAGACACCAAAAGCAGCCAGAATATGCAGAGGAATACGACGCGTGCGGTATTGCGGAGGGTGTGGACTAAAATCTGGTAGCTGTAGAAGGAGAGGCCCGCTTCTTGGATCTGGGAGAGGGGAGCAATTAGCTACCGCAACGACTGTGGAAGGAGATTGAAATTACCAGCCAGAAAAAGTCGGCGAAGCCGCTTGCAACAGCTCTATTGGCAATCGCATGCTCAGTGGCATAGAATGCGTAATAACAGGCCCCGTTCGCTATCGCACAGGAGACGGACACCACGATCGGAATATAGGTCAATGGGCTGGGACGACTGATAAAAAGGGCCCAAATGCCTACGAGCGTGACGAACAGTCCGATGCTACTCAGGATGGACCAGCTCAGCTCAAAATATGTTGCCATGGAAAGGTGATGGTCAGGTTGGGGGTATGGAGAATCCATCTCGGCCGGCCCCCCATGGGAGCATATGCTGCGTGGGGATGATGGTTGTCTTCATGCGAAGGTGAGAGTCTTGAGGAAGAACTAGAATAGCAAAGGCCGACGACTGATATACGGAGACTGAACTCCTGGGGAAGGCATCGAGCCCCTGCGGAGGTGAAACGCTGGTCGTGTGCTGACCACTCCCCCGCAAATCCCACAATCTCATTGACGGACTAATTTCAGGTCCGGGCTGGGTCCATCGAATCAAATGCAAAGGATGGAATCGCGAGATTCTCTGTTCCGAAAGGAAGTCCGCTCCGTCCGTTAGCGCTCTTGTACCTCCAGACGGGGTGCTCTGGTTATGCGGAGTTGGGGTCAAGGGTGGCGAGACCATGATCGTGTCTCTGACGTCCTTGACTGTGTCAACATTAAGCAACAATTCATCGCAACGTCACTCTAAGAGAGCCCAAACTGCTTCCCTGAAGCAAAAGCCGCGTTCGAAATTCATACTGACATGGAGATTGAAATTCGCAGACAGGTGTGCATATGCGCCCGGCCAATAGGTATTGATGGACCGTGCCTCCAAGCTTTCCCGTCTCGGTACGAGTCGCGATCCATGGGACACGGACTGAGCTACCGCATTGACCTCACGTTGTTTGGGAATGATTCCAACTTGGAGAGTGGTTGGGGCCGAACTTAAATCCAGATTGTCGGGGGGAGGTTAGGGAATACCCCGGGGTTTTCAGAGTGGGCTGATGCGGAGGAACTGCCACAAGCATGGAGGAGCACGAGTGGCAAACAACATAAACTCACCTAGCAGATGAGCGGGCGAACTGGGGACCAGGTAGTCTATAGTTTGTCTCCCATCAGCTCCCGTACTCCTACAGCCCTGCGTCCCTGAGTTCGGAGCTGGAGGCTATTCTCCAATCAAGCCAAACCCACCAATCCGCGCCTTCTGCGTACCGTAAAGCCACGGAGAAGCGTGTCACGCATGGCTTTTGAGTTCGCGCCGTTGGAACTAAAGGAGTTCGGCCGAAATTGTGCCGCGATTCGGATTCTCAACCTTATACCAGTACAGCAACCTCGACCATGCTGCAACCAAGGTTTATATGATGTTTTTGCGCGTACTGAATTCTGTGTGATGATCAACCGGAGAAGGCATTTAGCACTAGAACCAGAGTCGCCTCGCGTCAAGGGCCAATTTAATATCCCGTCGGGGAAAAAAGTGTATATGGTCGGCACTTGTGAGCCCGACCCTTGAGCCTCTTTTCTCAAGACATAGGTACAACAGGTGTGATGCCTGTTTCAAGCCTAAGAAAGCTAGATAGCGCACTCGTGTTTGTGCAAAGCAAAGTTGATACTCCGTACCGGTACCAGCATGGCCGCGCAATCTAGCATAAGCACCGTTCCTCTTTGCGCGGCGATGCTCCGGTATTGCCAAGTCTTGGGAATAAGCCATCCGGCTTCTTTTCGTACATAAGCCACTGTACGGAGTAGGACCAGGAAGCCTTGTGAGTCGTGGCGTTAAATGAGCTCTACGGTAGGGTCTTGGCTTCGGGGCACCTCGGCTGGGTGGCGTTCGCGGCGGGGCACGTATGGTGTGATGTCTGCAAGTGGAGGCATTCATTGGCAGTCCTGGCCCCTAGCGGTGGGCACTGTACTTTTGACAGGCGAGATGAATGCTCATATAAAATCTTGTTAGAGAATCTCCCGCGGCTTGAGATTGAATTTATGGCGTACTGCCGAGAAAAAGGAGCCCACTATCCGAAGAGGCCGAGTAGGCGAAGCCAGGAAGGGAAGGAGTCATAGAGAGGCTAGTAAAAGAGCTCGTTATTTAAGAGTAGGGACGGAGGCGAATGTTCAGCTGTTTATTGTGAGCTTGCGGGGGTTTGCTGGTTTGCCTACATTATTCGCGCGATTGCAATCTAGGCTGGAGGATTGACCGGGCTCGCGGGAACGCTCACTCACTGTCTCATATCATAAGCTAGCGCGACAATCGATTGTATCCCTGCTTAGACGAGAGAGAGGACGCAGAGTACGCATGCGAGATTTCTTTCTCCCGAACCGAACGTACTTCGTGCTGGGAGATGCCGGATTTCAGTGCGAATTTCAAGCACGATGTCGATATAAGATTCCCAGGCTCCACATGCTGTGGATCGTAAGCCGCTGTCATCGAGAATCATACTCGGTCGCAGAGAAAGTGTGAACCTAGCCGTTCAATCTAGCCGTCGGTATACCATGCGCAGTGCCTTACTCTGTATATGTCATTCCTCGTCTCTCCGGAGTACTTCCCTCGCACCAGTCAGATTGAGAAGGTTCCTGGCCCAAAATGATCCCAGTATTCAGTACTCAGACCGAGATGGTCTAAGTATCAATATGGGCATACCTTCATGTGATGGAAACTCTCAACAAGCGCCCGAGCCAACGTCGTTCGTAGTGCTCTCCGGGAAAATAATATGCAGCTCGGATATGTGCGATCATTCCTCAAGCTCGTACTCCGCATAGTCTGGGATTTTTGGCCATTGCTGCTATCATGAGGCCAATGGCATCTCTTGGAGATGAAAGCTTGGAGATAGTATCTAGCTAGGCCACGATAGTGAAGCTATACTTAGTATGGCTAACTAAGCTAATAGGCAAGGGCTATAGTAAGGCAAGTAATATATTATATTTTAACACCCCCCTTGCTAGAAGCCCTACTAAAGGAATAAAGCTAAATATATTTCCTAAATAAAAAGTAAATAATAAAATATAAAGTAATAAAAAATAAGCAAGGCGCCACGGCGGGCCGCCCTTGTATATAAAAAAAAAATAAAAGCTAAAATAAAAAATTATAAAGCTATTTAAAAATTACTTTTTTTACTAAGGTATTTTATGCTAAGTTACTTAATAAAGTAAAAATATTAAACCTATTTAAAAGGCTTAGTAAGGCTGTTAATAGCTTATTTTTTAATATTAATATAAGTAAATTTAATATTACTAGTGGCTATTTTTTTTATATATAAAGTAATATTTAATTACTATATACTTTATATAAGTATAAAATTTTAAATTTTTTAATAAGGTAATTACGCCTTAGTTATCCATATAAATAAATATTAATTTAATAAAAAGTATTTATATTAAAGTAAGGCGCGATATATTAAGTTTAATAAAAAATAATTAAAATTATAAAAGTTCTTAAATTATAACAGCCTAAAAAATATACTTTAATTTTATAAATAAAAGGGCTATAATTAATTATTTTTTAAAAAATTAGCTAATTAGCCTGTTAGCTATTTTAAAAATATATTTAAAAGTAAAAATATAGCTATTAATATAAGCACTAGCCTAGTTAATATTATAGTATTTAATAAGGCCTTTGCCTTTATATTAATA